CGCTACTAATCCGGATTAAGGCGTTTATATCGGAATAGTGGATTGAAAAACTTAGTCCAATCCTACATCTTTGCAGGATTGACTTAAAATTTTAAGCTGGCTTAACATCTGCTTAGGAGGTGTTTATTTCACAATTTTTAATCCGATATTTAAGTCAATCCACAATTAGGCCAGATTAGTCGTGTGAAATAAACGTAGTCTAATGAAATTAAATTAGGTAAGTTACATTGATGGTGGCGATTGCGCACTTTTTTTTGTTTTTATTAATTTAACTTTTAAAAAAGTAGCTTAAATAGTAGCTTTCACTGGCTCAATATGTAGTTAAGTTACCAATAGCTTAGCTACTTTTTTAAGAGGTAGTTGAGCTACTAAGTAACTTAGCGACTTACAATATCAAGTAGCTTGTAACTTGTAGCTAGCTACTTTTTTCAAGTAGCTTGCCCAGCTCTGACTGAAACCACTGCTATCATTTGCATTAATATTTTTTACTTGTTCACAGTGATTTATTAGAGCGCCAAATTTTCAGAATCGAGGGCTGATAATTTCAGCGATATTCTGAGCAGACCATTCCTTCCACCATTGTATCAGCTTCCACAAAGCTACAACAATTTTTGTCCGTACCGTCTGGGATTCCTTGCACGTGCCCATGCTCGTCTCCGATGCGTGAGTTAGCTAGCAGAGAGCTATCACAATTTGCTCCACTACATGCGACGTGATTTACGACCGGTCGCAAAAAAGCTGGATTTTGGGGGACTACAAGGAGTGACTGAACTAATAAGTGTTAATAGTATTGTTACGAAAAACCGATGGCAAAAAAAAATCTAAAGCTCCATGGGATGTGTCAAGTGAATGTGTTCGCTCTACCTACTAGGTCAGGCAACTGGTACGGTTGTTGGAAAGGAACGTTACCTTGCAAAAGGTAGGTACCCACAGGTTTGGCAGGTTCCTGAAGAAAGGTGTTCCAAACAAAATACTAATTTTGCGAACACCTATATAAGTCGTTAATAGGAGCATTAAATTCGAAAAAAAAAATTGTATCAATGGATCCGTTAATGGATATTCAAAAAATTCGCATTGAAAAGAAATCAGAAGAAGAGCTGCAAAATAACTTTGAATATGCACTCCCTTCGCATCTTCTCTCACTTTTTTCAGCAGATAGTATAAGAAAATGTACACAATCTTCTCTTTAAATAGCTTCTACACCTCCTACAGATCTAGCAGTTTCTACAAAACAAGTACATATTATGGCATCGAGACGATTCATATCATTCAATTTTAAAGAAACACGTGATTAAACAATATAATACAAGTGCAATTTTAATAATTTTCCATAGTAACCTACTAGATGTAGCCTGCCAGTAGGTACAAGTACAAGAAGTGCAGAACTACAGCTTCAATCTAAAAAACAAAACATTTCGAAGAATTTATCGATCCACTTGTTTCGCAAGAAAAATTTCTTACTAACGAATCGAATCAAGCTCGCCTGTAACTAAAATGGTAAAAAAAAGATTCGCGGCAAGCAGCAGAAAATGCTCCTAAATATGTGCCACCAATTTGAATGTTTACGTTTCGACTTGGAACTTTATTGTGGTAAGCTAAACATTGGTCCAAAGAGCCTCGAGTCCCTTGGATAAGGTGGCCCTGATGCTGAGTCGAAATGGCTCTATGGGATAGAGGATTGATGCGTAGGAATCAACTGTGGTAAACAGACCCTAAGGAGGAGAAGACCCAAGAAGATGCCATTGCAGAGTCCGCGTCGATTTATACCTACATAATAATATATCAATTTAGTATAGGTATAGGCATATCTATTTCTTAACCTACTCCTACTCAAACTACTGATAGATTATCAAGTATATTCATAAGGTTTTTGGAGTACTACAGGGTGGTTCCAGTTGACAATATTCACTGGAAGCGAAAAAACATCTAAAAAAATATATTCTTCTCATAGTTTGGGTTAGTTCTCGTAGTTTGGAGTATGGTAGCGGATGCGATACTACTCAAGCGATATTTAATCAAGGCGGAATTATTTTTTTTACAGAATATGATCATCCTAAGCATTCATCACATACATTCAAAACACAGAATGCAGACCCTGAAACTATCGCCAAGGCAGGAGAGGAGTCTTCACTAAAACTTTAGAATTTATCAACAAACAAGACAACGCCTAAAATTCTTGGTTGGAATAATTTTGTAACGTGTATGACGAAAAGTAAAATAAATTTAGCATTTCTTCCACCCAGAGAAGATGAAGCTTATCATCAAACTCAGGCTCGGTATGAAAACTGTATGAATCCAGAAGATTCGAAATAGAAAAGGTGCCCTTGGCCGCTGCCATATTGGAAAAACCAGCACCAGAAGCCTCCTTAAAGTGTATATTTTGCGAGTGCAAAAAAGTTTGTGGTCCTGAAATTGTCTCTCCCAGTCAATTTAGAAGGATGTTAGGGAGAAGATTATTAGAGGTCTCGAAAACTTTTATTACTTACTTACCTTGATTGAATCAACTACCTATCTGAAGTGATTTTTTTTCTCTTACTTACTTCAATATCATCAAGATAATCAATACAAAAATATGGTCGATTTTGAAAAGGTAAGCAATTCTATTTAATTATTATCTGGTCTCGATCTCGTTTCGAGACCGAGATCGAAACTAGTCACGTTTCAAGTTTTTGGGGCATAAGTTACTTTCGTTTAGGATAGGTACCTCGCGAATGAAAATTTATCATCCGGATAGGTACAAAGTTATCGGCGGGCCATAAAATATTTCTGTGATATAGATATCGAAGCCTTAACTTATTTGGGCCTAAAAAAATAAGCTTTGCGGAAAAGCAAGATGCTTTGACAGAAAACCATTAAAGTTCTTTCTTGCATGTCAATAATAGCTACGTTTTGCAGGCTACACGTAGAGCTAAATTTTGTTCGCCGTCCTATAAATTTAATTTGCGTAGCCCTAGAATATAAATTCCATGAATAATAATGGTACCAAGGTTACCTTATACGTACGTCTGTCAAAGAGGCAAAAAGCAAAAGGGTAAAAAATTGCCTCTGGTAGTAACTACGGCGGAAAAATGAGGTGTTGCTGTAGATGGCAAGACGTTTTTTTGTGCGATGTGATTTGCGATGAAAATGAATTTGTTACGATACATCTTTCAAGCCGTGGACTGTGTTGTGGCCACAATGAAGGCCTGCTATTTAAGCGGTATTTATTTTAATGATGTACAGCGGATCCAATTTTTCTTCACCCTGAATTAACAATTTATTGTCGGTGCATTCAGTTGCTCGTTTCGGATAAACCATTTGTAAACAGGTAAGTGCTGCAAATATTAGGTGATTCTTTTTATTGACAATAGAATCAAATCACAAAGAAAGCTTCATTTATATTTACCTAGGTTAACGAAGCCATGACCTATGAGGTCAAAAATTGTTACATTCTAAGAGCCTTGATTATGTCATTCAATAATAATTTCCCATTAAAATAGATAATACATTATTATCTATGCATCTATATCAAACACGTAATTTGGAATACCATTTAAAAAAATCCATTTCGGTTTTCAAATGAGAAGTAAACTTTTATGAGTTTTTCATTCCAAGGCTTTTGAATACTCGCGTATATAAAAAAGTACAAACAAGGCATACACGTCATATCAACAATTATTACATCAGAGAGGTACGAAGAATATTATAGGAAACTAGGTACTTGCGGAAACGCGAGAACATTTTCAAGAATGTCAAGACTCAAGAACAAAGAAAATCGACTTTCCAAAGAATTTACAGTGTCAAAGGGTTTGAAACGGGGGTGCTGCTTCATTTCTTTTTGAAATATATATGGAAAAGGAAGTGCCTGGATAAGAAAATATCATGCTATGGGTCTTCCACTGAACGAGAATTTATATACACGTCATGCTTCACCAACGACCAGATATTGAGGGGCCAACACTACGACTATTTAAATTATATGAGACACAAATGGCCAAGGATGGACAGTTTGAGATAAAACCGAAAAATCATTAAGAGCTACCATGGATTATAGAAGACCAAACTCAATTACAGATGACATCAGAAATAATGGACTGACGACCGAGGGGTAAGAGAAGACAGACCAGGAAGAACAAGAAAAAGATGGCATCAACAAAGAACTGATAGAGAAACCTTGAGGAATCTAAAGGATATAGCTGAATATTTAGGTTTTCTTGTTGTTTTTTTTTAAATTTATTATGTTTTGCGAATGGGATTCCCTATAATAATATTACTGTTGCAATTTTTAACACTGAATCTACTACTGAAGTTTTTAAAATTCAATAAGCGTATATTTTTTTCCTATCCAGTCTAACCAAACTCAGTTTTGATGGGTTCCAGAGTCTTTCCAAAATGCTTTTATCTTTTTACTTACTGAAACCTAAAAATATCCTATAGAATTGATTAATAAAATAACTGCGAAGCATCCAATGAATTAGAAAAATAAGCATTAAAGGCTAACAGCTGATAAATTTTAATTACTGAACACTTTATACCATACATAATGACATAATAATTAATCCCGAGCAGTTTAGAGATTAATATGATCATGAATAAAAGATGGTGAATTAAAAGCGAACAGGCTCATCCAGCAACTATAAAATGGTTAAGTGACCTTAAAGAACAAGAAAAATGTCTAAAGTTAATTTTGGTTTGCGTGTATTTGTAAGTTTAATTTAAAATTTCAGAATGCTGATTAGGCGTTGATAAAGTAAAGCCTACCAAATGCTTCATTATAATCACTTTTAGATTTATTACCAGCCTCTGAAAGTGCGCTTAGTCTCTTGAAAAAAGTGGCAAAACTTCAGTTAATAATATTAGCACTTAATTAATAGGTATATGAGACAGAGGAATCGGTTTATAATAAATTGACGTTTAATTTTTTTCTCAGGCGTGTAAGTAAAAGTTGTTGCAATAAGGATGTATGTATGTACTTGAAATACTTGAAAATTTCTGTATAACCCTCAAAAAAATCTACTTACCTGGTGGTAATTTTGATTTTAACATATCCATGGCCACGACGTTAATAATAAGAACCCAAATGGGACATTCCAAAAGTTCTTGTTCATTTTTCACAAAAGCTATTGCACTAAGACACTGACATTCTAATCTTCTACGGTCTGGATAGGCTCTCCTAAGTTCTCGTTTGACGTTGGATTCAAACTTTTTCATATCAAACAGTTTGACAGGTTTCTCTGGCTCTAAAGCGCTATTGGGCAATTTTAAAATTTCATTTCCTATAGCGTTTTCGTCGTCCTGACCGGTATTTTTTATGTAGACCATGCATTTCGATACTCTTTTAATTAGAATGTTCCCCGCATCGTCCATTTTGATTTTAACACCCTGGAATAAAAGAAATTAGGCATATAGTAGAGATCAATTAAATTGCAACTTTATAATAAAACTGACACTATGTTGCTGATGTTCTGGTCAAAATATGAAGCAGGTATGTAATTATTTGACATCACTTCATGTGTGTTAAAGATAGGCCACTCACATCAATAAAAAAAATTGCTCTTTCGAATTTCAAACATTTCCATTTCCTGTATTTCAACCAAGTCCAAGGCAGTACAAGGATTTGTTGTGTTGATCGTCAATAACATACGTAGCTATTTCAGAAACGGCAAGAAGCGGACAAGTATAGGAAATTAGGGTAGGTAGGGTATTTCCTTCTAACTTTTTCGGAAAGTTCTGATAATATCAAAATATTTCTTAATCCTCACATCTATATGAGTTAACTTTTAGCAACAATTTTACTCACAAGCGTACTAATGTAATGGTAACTTAAAACTGACGCCAAAGTGCAACGCACGGATACAGACTAAATCAGAAGCGGCCCTCATCCTTCAGTGTGATTCCGCAGTTGGATGTTAATTTAATGAAAAGTGTCGGTTTTTGCACTGGGTTAATCAATCTTTTCGCAGAAGTCTGCCAAAAATTTGAAAAGGATACCATCTTGTTAAAGTTTTCTAAAATTTACAAAATTTAGCACAAAAGTAGGGTAGGTATAGATACAGGGTCTTCCCCCATATATTGACCCCCCACTGCAAGGGTTATGTGAAGAGATATCAAAAAATTGTAAATACAAAAGTTTTGAGGTTTTACCTGAAATTTTTGAATCCGATGTCCAAAACTTTTTTGTTGTTTTAAAAATGTCAAATTTTGACAGATCAGTTTTTTTCTTATGGAACACTCTATATATGACTTTATAGTTGAAAAGAGTCGATTTTTCTGATTTCAAATATATATTGTTTAACTACTTTTATTTGAGCCGTTTTGGAAATATCGGGGTCTAAACTTCAAGAAAATAACACATCAGCTCTGTTCCAACCGACCGACATGAGAACCATTCTACAACGGTAATTTCCAGTTGCCCAATTTATTTCAATAAGTTGAACGTTTATCCTAATTGAAAAATGAATTGAGCGACTGGAAATTACCGTTCTAGAACGGTTGGAACAGAGCTGGTGTTTCAATGTATTACATTCTTTCTTGAAGTTTAGAGCCCGATATTTCCAAAACGTCTTGATTAAAAGTAGTTAAATCATATATATTTGAAATCAGAAAAATCGACTCTTTTCAACTATGAAGTCATATATAGGGTGTTCCATAAGAAAAAAGTGACCATTCGTCAAAATTTGACATTTTTCAAAACATAAAAAAGTTTTTGACATCGGATTCGAAAATATCAGGTAAAATCCCAAAACTTTTGTCTTTACAATTTTTTGATATCTCTTCACATAACCCTTGTAGTGGGGGGGTCAATATATGGGAGAAGACCCTGTACATGTGTAATTGTACTGTACATTGAAATTGCCCTCGGAGTAGTTGTTTCTAGTCGGTCAACAAAGTTCAAATAAGGTACACTCTGAAACAACAGTGGACTGGACTTGAAAGAACACCATGCGCAAGCGCATTTTTCCAATTACGCGCATGTGCACTGGAGCATTAGAATTAATATACTGGCAAATAGGCAACTTGGCCAACCTAGTTGCCAGTAAATAAACTAGTCAAAATGAAATAAGGACCACTTTCATAATTACTTTTTACTCTTCTTAATTCTGAATTTTTTTTAAATGAAAACTGCAGCATAATGACAAAACATTAACGTTTAAAAAAAGGTAAAAAAATTCTAATTTTTAAACAAATTAAATGATTACCAGAAAACTAAAAAAAAAGTATTTCTTGATTTATCAAAATTAATTTATTTCTTCCAAAAATGAATAATTAATAATGTGAATGGCCTCCTCGAGCTCGTACGACCTCAACACACCGACGGGGCATAGATTCAATCAAATTGCTAATTGTATCGCTTCTGATGTTACGCCACTCTTCCTGGAGCATGGCTTCAAGCTCCTCCAAATTTTTGGGGGGCTGGCGATTCCTAATCCTCCTTTAAGATTATCCCAGAGATGTTCGATAGAGTGAAGATCTGTAGAGTTTGCTGGCCACTCCAAAACCTCAATATTTTGCTCCTCGAGAAAGTAGGTAATTATCCTGGCAGTGTGGGGTCTCGCATCGTCATGTTGCAAAATAAATTGAAGGCCTTCCTCATCGGCAAATGACAATATATAGGGTTGTATAATGTCCTCTAAATACTTATAGGACCCCATGAAACACCATGTAAATTGGTGCGCCCCGTTAAAGAAATACCGCCCCAGAGCATAACAGAGCCACCTCCAAAATGAACTGTTTTCCTTACATTTCGATGCAGATATCGCTCACCTCTACGTCTCCAAGCTCGTACACGGGAATCATTGCGGCTTAGTCTAAAACTGGACTCATCTGTAAACAAGACGTGTCCCAACTGATCCATATTCCAATTTAGATGATTGCGGCAAAATTTTGATCGTGCTCGGGTCAATTGTGGTCTCACAGCTCTAACTCTGGACCCTATACCACTTGCGTGATGTCTGTTCCTTACAGTTTGTGTGGATATTCGCCTTCCTGTCGCAATAAAATGGAGACCAACAATGTTCTGCGCTGTCCTTGCTGTATCTTGCATAGCTCATCTTACCAAATTACGGTCTTCACGTGCTGTTGTTGCCCTTTCTCTTGGAGGATAAGGTCTTCTTGTGACTATGCCAAACTCTCCATGTCTGCTCATAAGCTTCGATGTTACTGAATGACTGGTTTGAAGTCTTCGAGCAATACTTGTAATGTAAAAACCTTCTTGATGTAAAGTAACTGCCCTGATTACTTCCATTTGATTTAAATGTCTTCTTTGACCAATTGGTCTTCCCAATGCATCGATATTCATCATAATTCATGAATTTAAGGTATCAAAACTAGACATAAACTCACTTACTATTGTTTGCAATAGATATGAACATTTCTCAAAGAATACATTTTCATGAAAAAAAAAAGGAATTCATCTGATAAAACAAAATTTTTTGTGCACAATTTATTTGTTGATCTATATTGTTAATGTAAATAAACACTCTACCAGAGATTTCCAAAATTTGTTAAAAATAAAGGTGTTTTTGAAAGTGGTCCTTATTTCGATTTGACTAGTTTAAATTTCCATACTTTTCACAGATAACAAAATAAAACCAGAGTCTGTGGATAATCAACGAACAAAATTTTTACGAAATATGAATCAATTCAAAGAATAATCAGTTGTTTTTTTGAAACCGTTATGAGAATTTGGCGCCTCAGTGCCGTCTGACAAAAAAGTTTCAGAGCTCCAAATACATTACAAATTTCCAAGGAGAGTTGCCAAGAAAAATTAAAAAATGAGAAAATAGACTCGAGCACAAACTCACCTATAATCACTTCTAAATCTTTGTTCAAATTTTCTCACATACAGAAATTAATCGTTCAATTTGTTTTTTTAATAAGATTATTATTGAAACTAGACAATTATTAAAACTAATTAGACCGTTTCATCGCACCCCGTAGATACGACCTTGCTAATCATAATAACAACATGGATGAGAATGAAACATGGTTAGTATGGAGGCTACTAGGGCAAATAATATTAAATTTTTACCAGACAAATCGAGAAAAAAACACTACCATGTTGCGTGCTGCCTGACAATAAGCCCGGTATGTACTTGGGTAAATTAAAGCTTCGTTTAATTATATTTATTACTACTTTTGTTTATAATGTAAGGAGACGGTGACGCTAAAACCAGCAGTGGGCAGTAGCCATTCAAGGTTGGTAGTTCGTTACTACCCAGCAATTAGTGCTGGGAGTTGGGTAGTCCATATACAGGATGATCTTAACTAGATAATTATGCCACATTTTTCATACAGAAACAAAATTTTGCACATTGTCTGTGAGAAATAATATTTTGTGCAATATAACTTCACATGAAATTGAATTACTAAAATGTTTTCGTAATTTTCTTAGATAGAACGGATCAACCTTAATCTTTCTAAGAATTATATAATTTCTCTTTGGCCATTTTTTTTTTTTTTTTCAATCCGACAATTTTTTAATTGAAGAATAAAGACACTTCATGCTCAAGTTGCCAAGACCATTTTATGTAAATGGTGCTAAGGAGATCTTAGATAACCTTAAATGCATACACCCAGCTGTTTTTCTTATTAGCGCCGAGATTTACCAATACACACGGTTGCTCTCTTCTATTGCCACAAGCGTATGAGGCATCAAAGTAAACGTTCAAAATTAGTGTTTATTAGCGTTATAATAAAAACGATTTACACATAGCTTTTTGGAACCTGGGGTCGTAAAGTTAGTCTTTTGACCTGCCCATTGTCCAGATTTTTATCTGCTTATTTTTGTTTTCTGGGTAACCTGAATATTACATTTTGAGATAACATTTTACATATCCTAAACAAAATCCAAGTTTCTGTGAAACTGGAAAAAACCCCAAGAACCTCAACAATAAAATTTATCTAACAATCGGCTCTATGCTGATATGCTACTACTTGGTTCAATTGTTGTATTTAGTCATCATCACAGTCTTTTGACAGCATCATTATCTTTGGGTTCTTTGATGGCTAAATAACCCTTTTTGGACCCTACAACTTCTTCCACATTGATTGCACACCGAATCACTGTTGTGGGGTCTGCTCCAATCAGACGTCCACCTTCTTTTCCAGGATTCCGCCTCCGCATCCCTTCGCTATTGTCTTCTTTGCCATCTGCGAAGGGATTTAGCCTCCCAGTTACTCAAATCCATCTTTCATAATATTTGTCCTGTCGTTTTCTGGTTGCTTTAGTCATTCTCAAGTTGGGAAAACATAATTTGCTTGGGAAGACGTCCAGCATTCAGACGATATGACCAGTACAGCGAAGCTGATGTTCTATAAGCATTACCTCAATGGTGGTGGAATTAGTTTTTTCAAGGATACTGTTGTTCGTTCGTCAATTTTGCCAGTTTATTTTAGGTCTCATTTTTCTTAGGCAGCGCTGGTGGTATCGTTCCAACCACCTCATAGTCCAGGTTTCACATCCGTGGAAAATGGTTGGCATGACGATGATATGTTAGAGCGACAGCTTAGTTTGGACACTCACCCGGTTTAAGAGACATGCAAATTTCAAATACTGCGCTAGCGCACTTTAGTCGGTATTGAATTTCTGCGTCAGCCGTCAATGTGTGCATTTGCCGACCGATGACTAGAAAAAATATGAGAAGTAGGTATTCTATATTTTCTAGAGGGGCTTTATTGATTATGAATAGACCCGCTGCATTAGTATTTGGGACACGTTGGTAATAGGATTTTTATCGTATCCGTGTTAAGTTCTAGACCAATACTTTAGCATTTGTAAGTTTTAAAGTTTTTTTCTCTGCGTTTCACAGGACAGCATTATAATCTCCAGAATATTGGAGTTTGCAAACAGTTATTGTGGATATTTGGGTCTTGACTCGAAGACTACTACGCTGAATAATAGCTCACCATCAGTTCTATAAGAAATCTCATCACCTAACAGTAGGATTTCTTGAACAAGACGAATTACGGTTCCTACAAATAAACTTGGTGCAATGACACCTCCATACTTTACTTCGGTTGTGACCTTAAAGGCAGCGGTGATGATTTTATCATGCAGCAAACCAAGTATGTTGATAAATTTATTTTATTTTCCAAAAAGCTACCTACTCGGTTAACAGAATCGAACGCTTTGATAGGGTCTATATACATATCATGAAGAAGGGTTTTTTATCTTATCTCTTGCGATTTTTCATGTATTTCTCTTGCACTAAGGATCATATCCACTGTACTCGAATTGGTCTGAATTTACACTTTGATTCAGGTAACGTTGCTTCGGCCAAAAGAAGAAGTCGGTTGGAGAGAATCCGTGCAAGAATTTTTCCTAGTGTAGTGATATTTTTCGGTAATTTCTTTACTGAGGCCTGTCGCGCTTTTTTTGAATATAGTGATAATATCGTTTCAGTGTCATATTTTCGCAATAAACATAGGTGTGTTTCCGACCAGCGCCGGACGCCTGTACCTTTGGAAGCTCTGCAGAAACTCAATCTACCCCAGCAGCATTATTATTTTTCAACGAAGAAGTTGATGTTTATCTTCGGAAAAATACAAGTGGTAATATCCCATATCTACGATGAGTTTGTATTGTTCTGGTAACGGCCAGGGGTCCTATTTTCGAATATTTTCGCATACGAAATTTGATACGATTTCGAATGCTCCCCATTTAATTTACATTGCTGTCAGTCAAATTTCGTGTACGAAATGTACTCGAATGGTTTCGAAAATCGCACCCCTGGTCACACAATACAATACGCGTGGTTTTCCTCTATAAGACAATGGAAAAGTCCGAATTCTCAATCATTGGATACTGGCGCTAATTGCATACCAGTTCCGAGCTTTTTAGCTCCCATCAGTGCAGTATAAGCGAAAGCACACCAACTCAGAGAAACAGGTATACAGGAGATTTCAACGATATGATTGGTAGAAACCTATTACCTATAGCGCGTGGCTCCATCTCTTCGAAGAGTTACAGAGCAAAATCCAGGAAACGACCCGTTTGGGTGTCATAAAATTAGTGTGGTGGAACTTGAATTCCACCACACTATCAAGAATTTTGTAAACATGATTTTTTTCCAAAATTCTTATTATTATTTTTTAGATGGTTGATAGATTTTTCAACCTCTTCTTAGGAAGGAGGATTGTTTGAGATGGGATTTATCGAATCCTTTCTTAAGGTGCGTATCGATTACCCGCAGCAAACTGTAGAACATTGGCTTGCGCGGCTGCCGCGCCTAATGGTCTTAATGGATACTGGCTTGCCGCTCGAGCCAACACAAATATTGACGCACTCAAATTCGGGTTCTTGCCTCGCGTAATCCATACGCTGCTTAATCCATGTGGGACTTACTGTTTAGAGGAGTTACATTGGAAAATGACCTGACTTAAGATCTCATTTACCACCACTAAACCTATGTCCTACCCACCTACCTATGAGTATTTTTGTGACTTGGCTAACTTGAGAAAGATCAAGTAATTGATTTTCACGTACAAAAAAACCAAATTCTCAACAAATTCTATCTATTCATAATAAGGACACAAATGTTAAATTACAAAAGTTCTTGTTCACTTTGCATCCTTGATAAATTTTATATAGGTAAACTTATTTTTGAAATTCGTTGTTTGTTATAAGGAGTCATAAGGAGTTGGTCCTAGAGAGCACTGCAAGCCATTATTTATTCGGGAGAGGAGCCTCATCCTGATCTCCCTTTTTATTCTTATAACAGTAGACATGGTCCACAATAAGTACTTATAGGAATTCAGTCAATAATTCAGCAAGAGTGACAAGATTCAACAGTGATAATTTGAAATTGCCTATCCCTAAAACTACTTTGACAAAAAACTCAATCATATATTTATGAAGGAGTAAAAATGTTTAATCACCTGCCTCTGGAACTTAAAAACTTAGAAAGCAATAGGATTTTCAATAAGCATTTTGAAAGGCTATTTATGAGTAAGGCCTATTACTACCTTGACGAATTTAACAATGATAGATTTCAATTATGTAGGTTTTTTTAAAAATTATTTTGTTTTTAATTGTTATCGTTTTCAACTTGAGTAGGTACCACGTTTGCACATAACTTATATCTTTATTTTCTTTTCCAGCTTTGTTAGTGAGAGTGTTAAACTCTTTGTACGATAAAGCATTTTTTGATTGCTTGATTGATTGATATACTTACATGGCCAATATGTCTTTTAAATTCTTCAGTTTTCTGGTCTCTCATTGGATTATCAAAGCCGCATAAACCAATTCTAAAAACAAAAAGACATCCATTATTATTTGTCATAAAAAATAATTAGCAAAATTATTGCGAAAGGAGTTCAAACACTAATGACATGAAATCTTCCCAACCAAATCCGGCCTTTTAACTTGAATAAAATAATCATTTGACATTTGCTACACTAGTTTTTCAACATCTAGGTCAAGTTTTAACGCCTACCGGCTAAAAACTCATCTGTTTGCCTTACTGTTTCATATTTATATGATACGGTACAACACAAACGATTTCTTCAATTGAAATATTCGGTTATTGCGAAAAAAACAATTAGCAATCTTAAGAAGCATATAATGAATACATAGAAAATCACCTTAGGAATTTTGCTCTCTGACCTTTGAAGATGAGATGTTGTATTGCATAATCATATTTACCTTTTATTTTTTTACTGTTATTCAAGTCAGCAATTACCGGCTTAATCGTAAAGTATCCTTTTAATTAGTTGGCAAGAGTGAAAATCAATTTTGAAAATATCATTTCATAGTTCATAGTAAGGTTACTAATTGCATAATTTACTCTTCCGGGTATTTTTTTTGTTTTGTTGAATCTGTATTTTTTTTGTTAGCCTACCAGATAAAATTTCTTGAATACTCGGACTACCAGTCCGAGTTTCTGTTATGTGAATAAATTATATCAAATAGGTACTGTTTTGTTCGAAGCTTGAAATCAACTAAATTTGTAAAGTTTATCAATCTCATTATCCCTTAAACGTATCGATAATTATTGGCTATTACGTTAGCCATATAAGCATATATCAGCGACTCGTATTGTAAAGTTAGAACTCCCTTTTAAAGGTTTTTCGAACCTGCGTTACAAATTTTCAAGTTGTCCCGTCCAAAAGGTCTTTTTGCCCAATTAAGCTATTTGAATTGGTGATATATCAGTAGTTAAATAGTTACCAGAGGGTATTGAAAAAAAGAAGCTGGGGTATCGGTTCAAGCGTAAAGCAGACGACCTTGTGTAATTGCCAAGGCGTCTTAAAGCCATAAGCGGACCACTATGTCCTAAATAATGTCACCTGACAACTTTGCATTTTTTATTACCATTACGTTACAGCCCAAATGTCCTCTTATTATGTAGGATTGTCAAAACTGCCGTGAATTATTTGAATCTACATACTTTGCTCAAACGTATTCCGCGTTCAGATATGAACAACGTACCTAAGGTACTTTATACTGTGAGGGTGTTTTTTACTTTATTGCAAGGTTATGTGCATATTTTTTGGAAAATTCTCAATACTCAGTAGTAAAGGTTCACTATTTGATATACCCCATATACCTATAATCGTTCTATAATATAGAGCACGTAAACTATATAAGTAGGAAATCCTGTCGTTGCCAAGTTTTTGAACCACAAAATGAGAAAATTTATTTCTTTTGAAATAACTTCACTGTTTTCTGTTCATGTTCGATGATCGAGAATTCAGGTTTCTCTAGTCTTATAGAGCAAAACCACACGTATTGTGTAATCTGGCCGATACCAGAACAATACAAATTCATCGTTTGAGCTATTAGCAGTGTGTTTGGAGCTCCGGTTAAACACTGGGTGTGTTTCCGAAGATGAAGTTCAACTTCCTTGTTTAAAATCCTTCACACTGCCAAAAAAAAAAAAAAATTTGATTCTTGTTTTTTTCACCTTTACAATTCACAGTTACTCTTTTGTTTTATTGAGTTTACTAAGTAATATTCAATTTGATAATGGTCATTCCGGCAACAGAATTGCTAATTAATTAAGGACGAAAAAAAAAGTACGGCGAGTTGAAAATACGTTGAATTTCCACTTCCAATAAGCGTGATATAACGTGCAGTGCGCGGCAGCAATACCAATTTGCTAATGCAAAAAAATCACCAGTAATTGTAACAGAACTAGTACGGAGGTACTTCGGAGGTGGTTCCAATTTCATCATTATAGATTCTAGAAACTATACCCAGTATGTAGATCGATATTCCGCGAATTGCACCAAAACCAAGGTTGCCCAACGCCCACTGTAGTACCTAAGCAGATCGTACCTTTTCAATTTCTTGTAATTGAGAAACAATGAACTGCAAAGTGCTGGTAGGTACCTATACAGGGTGCTACTACGATTTATCAACTGGGTGAAAAAAATGTTAATTGGAACTAGGCGAGAAAAAAAAAATGTTAATTGCAAAGCAGTGAATTCCACGCTCTTAATTTTGTTGTTTGAGCTGGTTTTATTAATTGAAAAAATGCCTTATGCATGTTCCATGCAACATAAATCTAGGACTCTATAGGTGTCGAGCAGCTACAAGGATTACTAATTTAAAAATTAGCAAACAAATTAATGGTGAATTAAGATAACGTTTTGCATAGGATTTATAAATTTCACTTGAGGTATTAGTTGTATTTCAGTTAGTGGTTATAATGAGGTTCATGGTCAGCAGATATTTAATTCGCCCCTCTGTTGTCTATCTGAGCTTATAAATTAATATAACCTTTTTGCTTGGTTTGCTCTTAGCTATAATTTCAGATCGATGTATAATTTATTAGGTTAATAAAGTTTCAAGTGAGAAAACCATAAGTGAAAAATTCATCAAAGGAATATTATGTCCCGTATTTTATTCACAGATTTACTACATAGGTACCTAGGTACATTATGGTCACAAAATCAACTAGTCAGACACTTGTTTTGATTCTATAGTAAGATTACATTAAATCAAACAAACAACGCATACCTATAATCGAAACAATACAAATAGCGGTACCGAAAGCGATCCACCCAGTATAACACAAGTTGCAAAGCTACTTTAAATTTCACCATAGACTATACAAATCAAGCTCAACAATTGAAGTTAGCTAGACAATTTATGAGGCGTTTTAAAAGATACTTTTTCCAGATCGGTATCTATCAAGTCCCGATATTTTATTGGACTTTTCAAAGTAGTCTGTGGGCTTACTAGATATATACATACATACATATAAAGTCGACTCACTTAGCATACGGCTTTGGTATTGGGTGATAACCCTTTTTTAGAAATAGTAGTATTTTCATTCAGATATATATCTGTTGCCTATTACTTTTGCCCACTATCTTGCCAGCTATTGATTTAAAAAAATCCTTATTAGGTATTAGAACGGTGGAAAAATGGTCGGTTAATTGATGGCAATTAATGGAGTTGTAAAATAATGGTTTTCCCTTTTCAACCTTATCCTGATTAATTTAAAACATATTTTAAGATACGGTCATTGTTTTATTAGTTATTTCAAAAATAAATAAAGGTAGGTATATTTACTTCCCAAATAGGTACCCGAGCAAATACTTATTTATACAAACTAACGAGTGCAGCTTGTGATTAGGTCAATAATTGCTAATCTAATAGATAAATTTACTTAGCTAATATAAAAAGTAATATTGGTAACAAGAAGGGTAATTGCAGCAAAATTATTATTTTATTATCAGAGAACAAATTAATAATTAGTGTCAATTATATTTCAGCAATATATTTAACATATTTTAAGAGATTGTGTTTAGCTTTGATTTGACGTCACAGTCATATTTCAACAAATTTCCCGCACAGGAAAAGTGGAACAGCAAAATATGTACCTACTTTAAAATTTATATGACAAGGTTTTGCGTATTGGTAACGCGTGTCAAGTCAATGATAATAAGGAAGAGGTTAAGTGCGATATGTGGTGAGACGGCATAAACCGGTCATTTTTGTATTTCCTTGAAAAAATTCTGGTAATACTCATGAATGCCATGGAAAACGAGATTACTAATTATTTTGCTGCGTTAAAATTTGTATCGTTTATGAAATGATGAAACCTTGAAACCTTATTTCGGTCTTATTTGTTAGAGCAACTCGTTATCCTGATTCGAACTTAACGACTACTAAATATTTTTTTAGAAAAAACAATCAGCATGTCACTATCAATAATGATGCGAAAAAGATAAACGCATGCCGGCATTTGTTTATTAATAATGTCAGTAAACCAACCAGTTTGCCAGATAATCATCTGGCTGTCAATGCAAATTGTTGCTTAGCAGAATTTGGCCATTAACGAGAGACTTTAGGGACTGAGAATAAAAAGATTGTCCAAATGTTCTTTACTGATTGATGAGACCTTTTTACACACTTGAGGAAGGTCTCAAGGGTTAAGGAACCCATTGCTGGTTTTAAGTTAGCACATTAAGTTAGGCTCGTTTTTTTTTTCATTCGAATGAGCTGCTGCTTGGATGCTGCTAAGAATCGTTATTTATACTCGACAGGTTTTGAGAGCCTTATGACTCTCAATTATTATAAAGTTTTCAAAATAATTTTTGTTTGAGTAGGTACCTATCTAATATTCAGATATTACAGATTCAACATGCATGTGTTTACTCTTTCTTTGTAGAATGATTTTATTGAAAGTTAATCACATTAGTCTAAGGCCCGGTATATTCACCTTCTGATAAACTGTCAGGTAATGCAATCTGATCGATAAAAACGGAATCTAAAATCCCATTGGTCGGCCAGTTATCCGCCGACCAATGGGATTATAAATTGGTGAACTTATCTTTTAGACAGTTACCAGTACCTAAGTTAATCTGAAGATGAATAAACCGGGCTTAAGAGTTGAATATGGTTTTATGTACGGTTTTTTGCTGAGGCTGATTTGAAAAGAGAGGAATTAAAAGAACAGAAAAACACGCAAAAGAAATAAATACCAACATTAAGTTCAAATAAAACAGGAAATCAACAAAATATATAAAAAAGCACAAGCAAGCGTACGAAGTAAAATACTAGGTACAGGTAAAAAAAAACGGGCCAACGAAAAGAAACTGTACGCATATTATTATTCATCTGGGAGGTAAAAGAAACACAGAAAGTTGGAGGATACTAAAAAACATCAAGGGAACAAAAAACTCAGGATATTATTACCACAATAATAAGAGCAGCAAGTTACACTGTAGCTTCTTGAAAAATGGAAGAGCGACAGGCCCAGGAGAAATATAATATGGAGAACTGATAAAATATG